TAGTAATAATAATAACAACACTTACACAACCCAGCAGTCCTGAAAGCCTTTAGTCTCTTAATTTTACAGTATGATTTTGCTTTCAATTGAGTACGTACTAAAATTTTTTTCCTAACTGGGTGGATCATAATTGATTTCTTGAAATATATTTTTACAGTAGTGGAGTAGATAATGAGGTAACTTTTCTCCCGCTTATAAACCAGATATTTGCTTGGATCTACTTAAGCGCAACCCAAAGTTGGCCGTACGCGAATGTCGGAGAATTGGGGATGACGAAAACAGATGGGAGAGATCTCCTATTTTTATGATGTCACGTCAACCCAATGCATTCTTTAGTGGATGCGGGCTTCGGTTTTGGCAACTAAGGATTTACGGTTGTAAGTATGGATTCCCTTATAATTTTATATTTTAATCTTTAAATTTTTTTTCTATATTTATTGATTTAATCAATCTATTTGCGGTATATGTATTGAAGGGTTAAAGGTAGAACTACCCACAATTTCTTCTGGTGAACTACGAATTCCTGTTACGACTACGATCTCAGAGAAAAGAACATCGAAATATAAGGTATTTAAATCTATTCAAGTTGATTACACTATAACATGATATCATTACCAAAAAAAAAAAAATTTAAGTTAGATCTACTATAAATAAGTATTATATTATAAGATATCTTTAAAATTTTAAGTTTTGAGTCATCACTTAAGAAAATTAGGATCTTTGAATGCACTAATGTAATAGGAAAGTGTGTTCTTAAGAGTTTTTGAGGTGGGATTAGGCTGTGTTTATGAGTACTGGACTATAATTATATTGTATGCTTTTTAGTCTTTTAATATTTTAAAATTATATAAAATAAATTTAATAAATTTAATATTTATTTTAATTAACATTTTATTTTTTTTTATAATAGTGAAAAAAATGACAATTTAAGCAAATTTTTACTATTTTAAAGAAAAATCAAATAAATTATTAACATTTTATTTTTTTTTTCATTACAGAGGACATATTATTGGGAAGAGGATGATGCTCGTGTGTATAAAGTCTGGAGATTGCATTGTCGAAACCGTTTTCGAGACGAGCTTCATCTAGCTCCAAAGGCGTGGGTCAGGGAGAAGAAGTTGCCGGAGTTCATGCACAAGGATACCTTTAAAATTTTGTTGGCAAAATGGAGGAGTCCAAAATATATTGCACTCCAGGAAAGAGGT